CCGCTAAGAGCCAGGAATGGCTTGCCGAGCGGTGGTTAACCAACGCGCCACTCAGCTGGCCCTAGTCATTGATTTTTAACACCATATATTGAAAATTCTTTTCATTCTGATATGAAATGTCACCTTATTGAATGCTGAATTCCCAGATACACCTTGGACTTGTTTCTAGATTTTGTCCCCATTAAGCACTCTCTTTATGTACTGGTGCCATAGTGTTTTAATATAACATTAACATAATTTTACATGGTTAATATACCACTTGTTAATTTTGTCTTCTGCTGTTTACCCACATTTCATTATATCACAAACATTTCTTCACACTATTAAAAATCTATAAAAATCATAATTTTAATGGCTGCAATGTGTCATCACAAAATTAAAGAAAAATGTAGGATATATCAGTTTCCATCAAGTCTAAGATGTCATCAACTTTAAGACTCACCATTATTTTATGTATCACCAAGATAAAAATGCTGCCAATTAAACTATGACATGCTATTGGTCTTTAAGATACATCTCTAGGGCTGGCTGTGTGGCGCGTTGGTTAACAGTTGGCTTGGAACGCCAGCTCTGAGCAGCAGGGCCCCGGTTCGGATCCCACACGAGGGCCAGTGACGTTGCGCCCTCTATAGCTAAGATGGTGAACAACAGCTCGACTTGGAGCTGGGCTGCCGTGAGTGGCTGGTGATGGCGTAGGCTGCAGCCCCTGCTGCAGCAGGCTGCCGTGAGCTACCATGATTGGCTGGCAGTCAGTGTGAGCAGCCAGCAGCTGGTGTGAGCTGCCGTTAGCAGCAGCCCAATGGCTGGAAAGCGACTGCCTCACCCAGAAAGAGTGCAATGATAATACCAACATGGGCCAGTGAAGTGACGTTCTCCACAACTAAAGAACAAAAGGAAAGCAACTTGTCTGTTCCCCTTCCTCGATTCCCCAACGCTGTTCCCCTCCCCGAATTCCCCAATAAAAAAAGAAAATCTTAAAAAAAAAGATACATCTCTATTTTAGAGAGGTTAAACTATAAAAAAGTGAGTGTTTTAGAATTGATGAAAAAAATAAATGAATATGTACTTCATCTCTATATGGGGAAGGGCTTTCTAAAGACCAATAAACTCAAAGGAAAGTGTCCATGGCTTTGACTTCATCAAAATAAAAAACTTCAGTATGTCTAAACATTAAAAAAAATAACCATGACAACAATTAAAAGGTAAGTGAACAGAAAAATGTTTGTGGCAACTATGGCCATGAATGAATAAATAGCCTTAGTAAAGACCAAAAGATAACTGGAGAAAGAAGTCAAACTGACAATTTATATAAGGGAATTGGCTATAAATGTGTAACATTTATTCTATCTCACCGGTAATCAAATAGATACAAATTAGAGATATGTTTTTTTCTCAGTATGAAATTAGCAAAGATTAGAGGAAGTTTTCAGTGCCAACAAAACAAGGGGACATGGAACCCGCACATACCAGAGAAGATCGTTAAAAGTACTATACCCGTTTATGATTAGTAGCCCTTAAAACACTCAGATTCTTTCATTGGATATTTACTTCTAGAAATCTATCCTGAGGAAATGATCTAATTTTTCTATGATGATCATACTTACTCTTATGGAAGAAAATCCCAGAAAACTATAGGGAAAAAAACATTTTAGAAGTGTGGCTATGTTATTAAAATGTTAAAAACATGATTTTCTTTTTTTAATGCACTACCAAGACGATCACGGTTTTCTCCTCATTTAATCAGAAACCAGTGTTCTTAGGTCAGTTAATAGGACCAGCGCTCTCAAATACTGTAACCTATTAAGAAGACATCTCCAGGAGGTGTCTTTGTGATGTCCTGGGGAGTACCCAAGAACAAAACGTGTTCACCTTGCTTTTGAATCACCCAGAGATAGACCGCCTGTCTGGAACATTTGGGAGTCCCACATTTTGGTGATTTCAGCCAAAATGCCTCCCATTCCTCTAGCTCCTTTTACAGTTGAGGGCAGGCATCATTCACCTGCCTGTTCCATTTGCATCCACCTCACAGTTTTTCTTACAAATACCTCCTGTTGCTCTCTGCTGAAAACCTTCCAATGCCTTCCCCTGCGCTTGGAATTAACACCCCTGCCAAGTTAACATCCCTAAATGGCCTTTGAAGATTAGGCCCTGCCAACCTCTGGGATCCTATCCTGGATCACCCTCCCCTTTTATTTCATTGAGGTCCTCTCCAGTTTTCTCAACCCTGTCAAAACTGGATTCGGCCTCCAGACCATGGCATGGATGGAAACGGGCATTTCTCCTTACCTAACTGTGGTACCCTTGGAGCACTGTCCAACACTACATTATTAATTTGTTTATTGCCTTTGTCCGCCTGACCAGGATCAGACAAGTGGAGGCCTGGGAGGCTAGGGCATCCGTTCCCCGCAGTGCTGCTGGAAATCACAAACATCACTAACTCGTGCCATATGCGCACACGGGTGACCCTGGAGTCTCGCCGAACTCAGGGCCTGGCCTCCATCCACCTGAGAAACGGTCGTAACCGTACCTATAGCCTTGGAAGCATTAAGCGGGAACCTGCTCGGGAAAGCAGAACCCGGCGCGCACCAGCGGCTCACCCCGCGCTCACGCGGCGCGGCTGGACGCGGCATCCCGCCACACCTCGTGAGAGCCCCCCGCGGCGTTCAGGGCCGCCTACTTTAGGCGGTGCAGCAGGGGTCTCAGGGTGCGAGTTCGTTAGGGTGAAAGCGGGGTACCAGCCTGAGGCGCGGGCACGGGGACCCCCGCGCGGACCGGGGCCCCAGGCCCGTCGGCTGCAGGTAAGGGGAAGTGGAGGCACACTCGCTTGGACGTGCTCCAGGCACCGCGGGTCTGGCTCCGGACACGCGGAGCGCGCAGCCCCACAGCCCCAGGAGAGGCCCGAGTGGTCACGGGCGGGCTCTGGAGAGAAAGAGGGTACAGAAGGCGGAGAGCGCCTGTTCCTTCGGGTCGGCTAGGAGCGCGGATAATAGGCAGGGGAAAGGGGTAGGAAGACGGCCACCTCAGCCCAACCCAGAGCCCGGGACTACCATACCGTCCCTATAGGGAACTAACCGCCATTCCCCTCCCCCACTCTGACGGGCGGGTAAGGCGAGAACCGTTTGAAGTAAGACGCATGCGCATGAAACTGAATTAGAAGCCACGGAGGTTAGATGTTCTATAATCGCGACAAGACGCAGACGCAAAAAAGCCCGGAGGGTTTATGCAGGAAGGAAAGGCTGAGCCACAAACACTTGCGCATAATAACTTGCTGGCTGGAGGTGGGCCAGCTCCTGAAAGTACGCATGCGTCTGAGCTCTGTGTGACGCAAGGGGGCGGTGCGGGCACCTGGCTGCGCGTGCGCAGAGCTTGTTCAAAGGGCCTTATTTAGGTTGCGCAGGCGCCCGTTGGCCATTTTTTCTCAGCCACGCTGAAGCCGTGTATTCAGGTAAGTGTTTGTTGCTCGATGTTTGCCGCCCACCAGCCCCTAAGGATGCCGATTTTTCAAGGATTGCTTGCCCCCAGACCTCTATAGATCCTGGAGGGCCTTGGCAAGGAGGGGGCTGCCGCTAAGAGCCAGGAATGGCTTGCCGAGCGGTGG